CGTGCATGGTTCATCTTTGTAGTTTCCTCCGTACCAGTTTCTCTATCTAAATCTCAAGTTTGAAGCGAATAAGATCGATATTAAGCATACACAAAGACTGAAAAGTGGGTTTCAAGGAAGAGAATTGCAGAGATTGAACAGCTTTAAGTATTTGGTATGCTTGTCGAACCTCCCCCTCTATATATATATATATGCTTCCATCTCAAAGGCAGACTTAGAGAGTTTCAAGTGAACTCCAAGACAAGTAAGAGTATTAAGAAGAAAAGAATAGTATTGGATTTGTGATTTGAAGAAGAAAAGGAGAGAAAACTACAGTTGCTTTGTCTTAAAACCTAGGAAATTGCAGTTGAATGCTTGGATTGAAATAGAAGGTTTCAAATGTTAAGTCATCAAAAAGCATGAGAAAGAATTGAAAGCAAAAGCTCAGCTTTCGTTTTCCTACTTATGTGTTTTTAAGCCTTACAATGCAACTGCACCTTTTTTTTTTTCCTTCACTCGACGGTTCGCACTGATCCTACCAGATTGGCTGACTTTGTAGTACATAATGGGTTAAAAGTTAGCGTGTACAATAATCAACATTGGATTTCTCACCAAAGAGTGCATCCAAAGTTAATATATACTTCTTTTATTGTGGCTGACGAATGGATTAACCAAATAGTGAATAAGGATATGAAATGTCTGCTGAGTTTAGGATCATAATAGAGAAGAGGAGGATCGACTCTTAAAAAACAAATTTAAAGGCCATGCATGTGAGTAATTTTGTCAGATAAAGGTTTCTTCTCTTTTCTCCTATCTCTTTAGACATAAAGACCTTTTATCTGTTGAGATTCAGATAACTCACAACTCTCAGTCTTTCAATCTCCAAGGTCGAAGGAGTTTCTTTTAATGCAATCTCCCATATCTTTGTACAACACAACAAAGCAAAAGAGCAGCATCGAGGGAATCAGTGCTTTGTCCTGTGCAGTAAAATGGTTGCAATACAATTGCATAGATGTACTTTTTTTTGTTTTTTAGTTCCTTTGCGGAGAAATAATGGGCTCTCCCTCCAGTTAGTATTGATGTCCCAAAGCTCGTTTCTTACATTGGAGGATTCAAGGGAACTCAAAACTACTAGGTCGACTCGACAGGCTATGGCCAAGGTCGAGGACGAGGTCCCTGGAACAATACCTGAACAAGAAATCAAAGTAATTTCGATGAAACAACATACTGTGATCTCTACCGTATATTCAGGCATTCAACTGTGAACTGCCGCGTCCTCGGCCTAGCTGCGAAGCTCGCTACCGGCTCACTTAAAAGGAGATATTAGTCTTAAGGACTTCGAAATCGACGAGAACGCTGAACGTCTCGACTGGGCTAACAATGAAATCCCAGAGAAAGGGAGAAGGAACGACGATGAGGATCACGGCGGTGCCCACCAACGAATCAACTTCATCATGGGAGGATCTCGCTACTGTGCCGACACAGTTTCTGCGATTAAAGCATATCGGCGACGTGCCGACATCAGCGCCTACTGGTCTGCACCATCGAAGTTC